TCAGTTTGAATTTTAAACAGGATTATAGAAGTCATGGAATTGTCTGTTTCTCCCTCTTTCTTTCCCCCCATCTTCCATTATTCTGTTGTTCCTTCCCTTTGGCATTTATAAGCGCTATCATGTAAGTAGAACTATGTTAGGTGCTAGCGATCCAGAAATGAAAGGATACAGTCTCTGCCCTGGAGCGACTAGGTCTAGTTGGTGAAAAAGAAGAATAAAAAACTAATTACAGTATGGCTTGTAGAGTGGTCTTCCTGGAGGAGGTGATATCTGAGCTGGAAGGATGAATGAGAGATGACAAGGAAATGAAATTAATCTTACTTGGATTATTAATGGTTTGGGGCTATGATAGCTTTCTTTATACCAAAGATGACAGAGTAGGGAACCCCAGGGCTCCATCCCTCCATTAAAGCAACTAATGAGCTGGCAAAACCTGTCAGAATCAACTTTTACAGAACTCTGGAGTCTAGTTGAAAACTTATAACAACCAGGGGAAAGCTTAACGAAGAAAGAAGCTGCTGCATTGCAGCAACAGAGTTCTCTGGTGTTTTAAATTGTCTACCAACCCTTCCCCACATACCAGATGGGAGGCAGCCATGAAGACAGCAGCCTGTACCCCTGGTGCAGGTTGCCAAGTACCTGAGGGAGCAATTACAGACCTTATTCTCAAAGAATTGTGGTTGTTTATTTCAATCTGTCTAGTGGCTCCTGGAAGGACTGGTACACAAGGGCTTGCCTTTGTTTCACCCAGTTCAGAGCATTCCCAGGTCTGGGGTGGCTTCCCAAATGGCATTTGCCAAAAGCACTTGAAGGCAAAAGTATTGGCCAGAGCAGCTTGGGGAAAGGGATAGCAGTCAGGACAAGCAAGAGACAGATCAAAAAGCCTGGTAAGAAAGAATTTGGGAAAGGAAATCTACAGGGGAGTGAGAGTTTTTAAAAGCTCCTGCTTAAGTCAGGGAATTGAGAAGGCCATGCATATGCCCAAGACTGGACACATGTTCAGAAAAGGCCTAATCCTCAGAAAAGATCCTAAACTTTCACCTCTGGCTAACCTTCAGGCTCTGCACAAGCAGGAAGTAAAGGTGAGGGCAGTATTGTAAATGGCCTGGCTAAGCACTGAAGGCGTGTCCCAACACAGACAATCTTCAGGGAGTGGGGAGAGTTTTAAAAATTCTTTTAAAAAATATTATTGGGCTTTAGGTGTTTGTAGATACTCTGTCAATACACTAGTTGACCACTAAACTAATGGAACACAGACTTCAGTGGCCACATATGATAAACGGAAATTTTACAAAAATAATTTAGAAAAGTAACTAAAATGACAATAACAAGTAGCAACAAGAGACAAAACCAAAAAATTGAGTTAATTTTTGTATATGAGCTGAGGTAGTAGTCTACCTTCATTCTTTTACCTGTGGATATCCAGTTATCTCCAAACCATTTGTTGAAGAGACTATTCCTTTCCCATTGGCTGGTCTTGGTGTCCTTGTCAAAAATCAATTGACCAGAGATGACAGATTTATTTCTGGACTCTCAACTCTATCCCATTGATCTGCATGTCTGTCTTTATGCCAGTATCACTCTGTTTTGATACTCTAACCTTGTAAGTTTTGAAATCAGGAAGCATGAAAGCATGAATCCTACAACTTTATTCTTTTTTTTTTGCCGCACTGCGTGGCATGCGAGATCTTAGTTCCCTGACCCGGGATCCAACCTGGGCCCCCTGCAGTGGAAGCACGGATTCTTAAACACTGGGCTGCCAGGGAAGTCCCTATTCTTCTTTTTAAAAATTGTTTTAGCTATTAGGGTCCCTTGAAATTCCATGTTAATTTTAGGATCAGCTTTTACATTTTTGCAAGAAAAGAAAAAAGTCTGTTGGGGCACTGCATTGAATCTGTAGATCACTTTGACATCTTCCAATTCATGAACATGAGGTGTCTTTCCATTTACTTAGGTTTCCTTCACATTCAGCAATGTTTTGTGGTTTTCAGTGTATAAGCCTTGTACCTCTTTGGTTAAATTTATTCCTAAGTGTTTTATTCTTTTGATAGTATTGAAAGTGAAATCATTTTCTTAATTTTCTGGAAATGAAATCGCTCATTGCTAGCGTACAAAGATACCACAGATTTTGGCATGTTGATCCCGTACCCTGCCACTGTGCTGAATTTGTTTATTAGTTTTAGTAACTTTCTTGTGGATTCTTTGGGAATTTCTCTATATAGGATCATGTCCTTTATAAAGAGAAACAGTTTTACTTATTCCTTTCCGATCTGGATAGCTTTTCTTTTTCTCGCCTAATTTCTCTGGCTAGACGTTCTAGGACAATGTTGAATAGCAGGGGTACAACTGGCATTCTTATCTGTTCCTGATCTTAGCGGGGAAGCTTTGAGTCTTTCACCATGGAGTATAATGTTAGCTGTGGGTTTTTCATAAATGCCCTTTATCAGGTTGAGGACATTCCTTTCTATTTTGTGTTTTGAGTTCTTTTTTTTTTTCTCATGAAAGTGTGTTGCATTTTTTCAAAAGTTTTTTTGGTATCTATTAGATGATCATGTGGGTTTTTTCCTTCATTCTAGTGATACGGTGTTTTACACCAATATTTATTGAGCCATCCTTGTTTTCCTGAGATAAATCCCATTTAGTCATGTTTTATAATTCTTTTAATGTGCTGCTGGATTCCATTTGCTAGTATTTGGTTGAGAAGTTTTACATCTATATTTATAAAGGATATTGATCTATAGTTTTCTATTCTTGTGATGCCTTTGTCTGGTTTTGGTAACAACATAATATTAGTCTCATTAATGAGCTAGAAAGTGTTCCCTCCTCTTATATGTTTAGAAGAGCCTGAGAAAGATTCTGTTAATTCCTCTTTAAATATTTGGTAGAATTCACCAGGGAAGCTGTTTGGTCCTGGGCTTTTCTGTGTTGGCAGGTTTTTGGTTACTTACTCAATCTCTGTACTCCTTATAGGTCTGTTCAGATTTTCTATTTCTTCTTGAATCTGTTTTGGTAGTTTTTGTGTTTCTAGGAATATGTCCATTCATCTAGGTATCTAATTCGTTGGCATATAATTGTTCATAGTATTTTCTTATAATTCTTTTTATTTCTGTAAGGTTGATAGTAAATGTCCCACATTCATTCCAGATTTTAGTAATTTGAATCTTTCTTTTTTTTCTTGAACAGTCTGTTTGTCAATTTTGTTGATCCTTCTGAAGAACCATTTATTGTTTCATTTTTTTTTCTACTGTTTTTTCTCTTCTCTATTTTGTTTATCTCCATTCTAATTTTTATTTCCTTTTTTCTGCTTGCTTTGGGTTTAGTTTTCTCTCCTTTTTCTAATTCCTTAAGGTGGGCTAGTTAGGTTATTAATTTGATATGTTTCTTTTTTCAAACATAGGCATTTGTAGCTATAAATTTCCCTCTGAACACTGCTTTCAGAGTCCCATTAGTTTGGGTATGTTGTGTTTTTGTTTTTATTAATCTCAACATATTTTCTAATTTCCCTTGTTATTTTTTTCTTTGACCCAATGGTTATTTAGTAGAGTTATTTAATTTTCACATATTTGTATATTTTGCACATTTCCTTGTTATTAATTTCTGATTTCATTCCATTGTGGTCAGAGGACATACTTAGTATGATTTCAATCTTCATAAATTTATTGAAACTTGTTTTGTGGCCTAACAAAAGGTTTATCCTGGAGAATCTTTTATGTGCACTTAAGAAGAATATGTAGTGTGCTGTTTTTGGCTTGACTGTTCCACAGATGTTTGTTAAGTCTATTTCGTTTATAGTATTTTTCAAGTCTTGTATTTCCTTCTTGATCTTCTATCAAGTCTTTCTATAAATTATTGAAAATGGAGTACTGAAGTCTCCAACTCTTACTGTAGAACTGCCTCTGTCTCCTCTCAATTCTGTCTACTTTTGGCATGTATTTTGGGACTCTGTTGCTAGGTGCATATATAAGGTGCACATATATTTATAATTGACATACCTTCTTGATGGATTGACCCTTTAAATTTTTTATTTTATTTTATTGAAGTGTAGTTGATTTACACTATTGTGTTAGTTTCAGGTATACAGCAAAGCGATTCAGTTATATATATATACTTTTTTCAGATTCTTTTCCATTATAGGTTATTACAAGATATTGATTATAGTTCCCTGTGCTATACAGTAAATCCTTGTTTATTTTATATGTGATAGTGTGTACCTGTTAATCCCATACTCCTAATTTATCCCTCCCTTTCACTGTCTTTCCCCTTTGGTAACTAAAAGTTTGTTTCCTAAGTGGATTGACCCTTTGTTTAACATTATATAATATCCTCTTTTTTAATCCTAATTTTTGTCTTAAAGTATACTTTGATATTTGGAGAGCTGCTCTAGCTCTTAATTAATTACTGTTTGTACAGAATAGCCTTTTCTATCTTTTTACTTGCAACCAATTCAAGTCTTTGAATCCAAAATAAATCTCTTATAGACAATTTACATTTAGATCATGTTTTTTTAGAAGTATCCATTTTGCCAATCTCTGCCTGTTAATTGGAGTTTAATCTATTTGCATTTAATATAATTACTGATAAGGAAGGACTTCTGACATTTTGCTATTTGTTTTCTAACATGTCTTATATCTCCCCCCATTCCTCCATTACTGCCTTGTTTTGGGTTTCATTGATTTCTTTTTTTTTTTTTTTTGTAGTTTACCTTTTTGATTTCCTTCTCATTTTCTTTTCTGTATATTTTTTAGTTATTTTCTTAGTGGTTGCTCTGGGGATTACAACTAACATGTTAAATTATAACAGTATATTTTGGATTAATACAAACAATTTCAACAGTATACAAAACTTTGCTCCTGTATAGCTCCACCCCCTTTATGTTGTTACTGCCATAAATGACACCTTTATACATTGTGTGCCCATGAAGACAGATCTGTATTGTTTTATGCAGTCATGTTTTAAGTCCTATATTAAAAAAGAGGGGTCACAAAATACAGTAATACTGTCTTTTGTATTTACCTATGTAGTTACCTTTAGCGTGTGCTTTATTTCTTTGCGTGGATTCCAGTTACCATTTAGGGCTGCCTGCAGAACTCCTTTAGCATCTCCTGTATGGAAAACACAGATCAAGAGAGAAGCATTTAGTTTAAAATAAGAGAGACACCGTCTGAGAACAGAGTTGATCAGGTAAACATGAGAGTGAAATTACAGGGAGAGTTCAGGAAAAATTCATGGCTCAGTCCCCGGATTTTCTTGATGACAGGGATTCTAAGTTTACCTGTGCAGGATGCTGAGGGAAGCGTGCCGACAGTGGGACTGACTGTATTAAAGGTCTGAAGTGTATCTAAGAACTAAGATGAAGCTGAGACGAAAGTAGAACTGCACCCACCTATGCAGCTCCACCCAGCTAGAAATTCATTCCACCATGCTGGATATTGTCCTTCTGAAATTCTTAGAAACAGTAAAGCCTTCTAGACGTTCACTGCGGCACCCAGTGCAGCTTCCGGCCTCTGCCACGTCTGGGTTCACTGCGGCACTCAGTGCAGCTTCCGGCCTGCTCACCCGGTAGGAGGGGCTCTGGCAGCGAGGTTGGTCCCAGCAGGCCTTGCGGGGCGACTCGCAGCTCACGTGTGACCTGTGGCGCCTGCGTCTGCCTTTTGGGGGTTGGCGCAGTGAGGGGATCTGCCTTACTTTCTGTGAGGAAAGCCGGACCGTGACAGAGGAAAGAGGCCGAGGAGGAGGCCAGGACTGGGCTAGAACTGAAGGAGGACTGAGCCGGGAGGTGAGGGGCTTTACCGGCGGTGGTGGCAGCGGCAGCGGCGGCGACGGCGGCGGCGGCGGCGGCGGCGGGCGGCATCTCCCGTGAGGCGGTTGGTTGACTAGGCCACAGCGGCCATGGCCATGGGCTTTGGGGACCATGCCAGCGGGTTCCGCCACAACGAGGTGATCAGATTCATCAACAATGAAGTCCTCATGAACGGGGGAGGCCCTGATTTCTACGTGGCCTTCTGCTCGCGGTCCTGGAATGAGGTAGAGGATCGGCTGCGCGTCGTTGTCGCTGACCCGCAGGTGCCGTGCGCTATCAAGAGGGCCTGTGCCTGGAGCGCGCTGGCCTTGAGCGTGCGTGTGGGCGCGAGGCAGCGGGAGCAGCAGGCGTTCCGGGTTCAGTGGCTGCAGGAGCAGGTAGGGGAACGCGAGGCGGCTTCCTGGGCCCTCTGAGCTGCGGCGCCTGCGCGAGGAGCGCGAGGAGGTGGTCACGTAGCTGCGCCTCACGCAGGCCACCTTGCAGCAGGCGCTGAAACAGCGCGATGTGCTTTGTGGGCGGCTGCTCCTGGTCGAGAGGTCGGCACAGGTCACCCCACTGGCCCAAGAGTTGCTGCCTGGGCCTCGAGCCAAGCAACTTGGGGCTGCAGAGTGGCCCATGAGCGTAGAGCAGCAGAGAGATGTGGTAGCCATGGGGGAGCATGACAGGCTGTATTTCAAGAGCCAGATGCCAGCCCCGACAGATGTCCTTTATGTGCCGGGACCCCCGAGTCCCTGGGCCCAGGCCGTGCAACCCCCTCTGCCAATGCCGATACCATACCCATTTCCATTCCATGCACCATTCCCGATGGGATTCCCATTCTTGCCACCTGTACCACCAGCAGTAGCCATATGGAAACAGAAGCTGGAGTCGTCCCATTTCAGGTGCCTCCTCCGGGGATCTCTCCACCTGGCCCGTGGGCTGCAGTGGTCTTTCAGGGGGAGATGGCCCCACTGTGGAACCAGAGGAGCTACAGCCAGGGGGAAGGTCCTGAGATCCTGCAGGGTACAGTCCCCTTAGGGGATATCAGAAGTCTTAACCAGGAAGAAGGTCTATAGAGGCCCCAGGGGATGGTCCCCCTTAGGGACAGCTGTGGTCTCAGTCAGGAAGAAGGTCCAGAGAGGTCCGAGGGAATGGTCCCTCTTGGGGATAGTTGGAGCCACAGCCAGGAAGAAGGCCTAGAGAGACCCCAGGGGATGGTCCACTTGAGGGATAGCTGGAGTCTCAACCAAGAAGAAGGTCCAGAGAGACCCCAGGGGATGGTCCCCCTGGGGGCCAGTGGGAGCTACAGCCAGGAAGAAGTTCCCAAAAGATCCCAGGGGAATGTTCCCCGGGGGGACAGCAGAAGCCAGAGCCAGGAGGGAGACCTAGAGAGGTCCCCGAGGACCATCCCCCTGGGGAACAGCAGAAGTCACAGGCAAGACAATCCAGAGAGGCCCCAGGGGACTGGCCCCTGGGGGTCAGCAGAAGCCAGAGCCGGGAAGGAGGTCCACAAGGGCCACAGGGGATGCCCCCACCACTGTTCAACAGGAGACATGGCCAGGAAGGAGGTCCAGAGAGGCCTCAGGCAACTGCCCAGGGGGACAGCTGGAGCCCTAGTGGGAGAGAAAACCCAAAGAAACAACAACCTCAGGGGTAGAAGACCAAGCGGCCAAAAGGGAAAAAAGCCTCAGAATCACACCACCAGGAGAAGTCTGCCTCAGGCTGCAGTTCAGTGAATTGGGAGTGCCCCGTGGTGTAAAGCAATGAATTTTCCATGGCACAAGGCCTGCTATGAATGCAAGAAAGTCTGCATGGCAGTTGAGAGTGGAGGCCCCGACCCAGGACAAACCCACTGATTTCAGGAAGGTAAGTAAGAATGGAAACACTCCAAAGAAAAACCAGTTTTATAAGACCCCTTCCTGATTAAAAAGTAACTCATTTACTTCACAGAAAATTTGTAACTAAAATTATGATATAGAAAATTAAATAAAATAATTCATTGTCCCATTACCCCAAATAACAACTTTTTATCATTGAGTACACACATAGATACATATGTATTTATATGCTTTCTTTTTTTTTTTCATTTACTTGAGCAAAGACGGATTGCTTTTGAGTATCACACTCACTCTTTAAGGAATTTCTCCTAATGCATTTATGTTTGCAGGTGCTGAATTCTGGGTGGCTGAAGCTGATTGGTTGACACCCTGCAGAAGCTGAAGTCAAGACTGTTTTTTTGAGGGAGACGCAAGAGGGAAGAGATATGGGAACATATGTATATGTATAACTGATTCACTTTGTTATAAAGCAGAAACTAACACACCATTGTAAAGCAATTATACCCCAATAAAGATGTTAAAAAAATTTTTTTTAAAAAGACTGTTTTTTCCTTTTTCACTCTTTTCTGTTTTCTTATTAACCTTGTTTTCCAGAAAATGCCATGTCTTTGGCTGGGAGCAGCCATGTGTTTTTGGTTATAAGCTATAAGGAATTTTAGGAGCACTGATTTTCCTTGAAAATGCTATCGTTCCTTTGTAAACTACTGCGGTGTTCATGTTTGCTTCTTGTTCTCGTTTTCTAAGTTTTATAGGTGAGGGTCTGTCTTTATGTCTCTGAGCCCCACGGAATTTGCTTGTTGCTGAAGAATCTGAACCTATCCCATTAGAAGATCTTCCAAGAGCCTAAAGAAAAAACTCTTCGTTTCTGACTGACCCACACTCAGTGAGACCCCTACTGACTGGAGCCAAGAAGAGCGAAAAGTCAGGGAAGAAGAGATGCTTTGGCACTTGGGGGAAAAGGGGGGCAAAATAATTTTGTTAGGGTGTAATTTCTCTGTTGGGACAAGGAATTAATTCATAAGATGTGGTGGTTGCAGTGTTAAATTGTATAGATGATAGCAAACGTGATGAATTTCATTTAATTCATTAAACAGTTATTGCCTGATATGTGTTAGGAGCTGGACTTATATGTTATTATCTGGTGCACACATTATAACCTGATTTGGTGAGTTTGGTTAGATAACAGGAGAGAGCCTAATTTGGGATACAAGTTATATCAGGAGTGACTTCTTTGCCTTGCATGTAGTGTGACCTTTGGGTAAGCCCAAATGAAGTAACATCGAGATATTTCTGCAGTTCCGGGGGCAACAAAGAGACTTTAATGGAAGGACTTGATTGCTGAACTGCTCATCTCACTGGTCCCATGTGAGACAAGTGAGTAGTGGCAAAGAGTGGAAAAGTGGCCTAACAAAATTGCAGGCAGGACTTTTCTGATACTCTCCTCATTTCCTCCCTTGAGAGGGACAGCTAGTTTCCTGGTTGCCTGAAAGACCACTGGGCGACTGTCTTAAAGAAGGACAGTGCTTGGGGGAGTGTTTGAGCCCTCAGCTTCGGGCAGCCACCATCCCAAGCCCCTTTCTGGTCAGTGGATGAAGAACAAAATGGATTCCAAGGACAGACATCGTGCTATGGATGGCGCTTCTCTTGGGAGGACTAATTGGATTAAAACTAGAACTGGACTGCGACGAGCATGCTTGAGAATGCTCGTGGGCCCTTCTCTTCCACTTGGTGTGTTCTCTGCCAGCTTCTCAGAGGCAAGTGGAGCCCCGGGGCTGGGAAGTCAGATCAGCCTCCAGTCTGAGCAAAACGTGTCCTCGAGTTCCCCCAGGAGATTCCAGCTCACCAAGCTCAACCTTTGTCAGAGGTTTCCTGATTCTAACTAGTAATAAAGAGTGTGCACTTACTTGCTGTGTCTTCTGTGTAGTGTGTACCTCGGGGCAGGTTTGCTCAGAAGCGGCAGTTTGAATCTGCATTTTCCCTCCATCCCACTGAGGTTACGGAAAATCCAATCTCATTCACTATTGAAGGGCCCCTCCTCTTCCTGTGAGTTACTCAAGAATGGGGGGGCAGAGGGTATTCTGCAGGGTCTTCAATCCATTGTTATTGTCCCTGCTCCGCTCACTGTCCAAGTCCCCACGGTTCCTTGAAGGTGGGCATCTCTGCTACTCCTGGGCCCGTGGGGCACGAGAGGTGAGGAGAGGAGGGGGCTTCTGCCTAGGCTGGGAGCCCTAATGCCTGGTGTCCAGCCTCCCTACAGGCACCGAGAAGCCATTTCCCTGAGGCCCTGTATCCCAGAGGTCCCTTGAGCAGAAATTTCCCCCCTGCATTTCTGCCCTGCAAGGCACTGCCCCCTCCCTCCTATGCATAATCCCATCAAGGTGCTCAGGATTCTGGAGAACAGCCAGGCTTAGACAGTCAGCTAACAAGACAAATGTTCCCTGAGGCAAAGGGGGGTAGAGTCTGGCTACCTGCTTGGTGTAGAGACAGGGAAGGGGCAGAGAACAGACGTGAACCTGACCCACCAGCATTCTCTCTTCCCTCGGAGTCCTGATTACCAGGAGGCCTGGGTAACTCGGGAGGGCGCTGGGGAGGAAGGGAACCATCAGGGACATCGACCCAAAGCTAGACTTTCTGGGTTGGAGAAAGGCTTTGTGATACACTTGTGTATGCTGATAGCTCTGTAGAATTCTGGGAAGATGAGACTTGGGAATTTTCCAGCATAATCCATTTTGGTGTACCAGCAGATCATTTTAGATCTCACTACATTTGCTTTAATTTATGGTTTCAAATGGACTCTGCTATTCATTGGCGTGCCTTTAGGTCTACATGAAAGCACTCACCCTGTGCATAGCTTTTATATAGTTTAATATGATTACAGTCTTTCAGGGCTGACTTTTTCCAAAGCAACCTGAATAACTGAGGCTGTCAAATCACTACTTTCTCCTGGAATGGGTACACACAAGAAAAGGCAGGAGGTTTCTTAGGCAAGAACCTGGGCTTTGGAATTAGAGAGACCTGAGTTCAGATACTTGCTCTGCTATTCACTAGCTATGTGAACTTAAACAAGTTATTGAACTTCTCTGAGCCCCAGTGAGTGGTTGTTCCCTTTCCCTGTCCTCAGGGTTGTGCTCTGGATGCTGTGGTAATGAGTATAAGGGATTATCAATGGTCGTAAAATCATTAATACCATTGAGTGCTTACTATGTGCTAGGCACTCTAAGCACATTACCATTTTGGTGACTGTAAGGTATAATAGGTACCTGTATTATTAGTTCTTCAAAGTGAATATTATTACCCCCATTTTATAGATGTGGTAACTCAAAAATTTGGGAATTTGTGAAGCCTGGCTTCAAAATAAAATTTTACTGATTCTAATGTCTGTGCTCTTTCCATTATATCACACTGCCTTAGCCTTTTACCCTTACTAAGTAATGTATTTGTATGTTAACGTGGATTATCAATGTCTAAGCCCAATGAAATGACTATAATGGAGAGACTTTGAGGCATAGTGACAGTCTGGTGGTCAGGAGCTGCTCTTTTAGAATCTCTCAGGCTTTGGGATATGTGATCATCTAGGCTGCCAGTAAGTAGGACCACTTATCTCAGGACTGCAAAAAATAAAAAGGGGGGGGGGGAATGGTAATTTAGGCAGTGGGAGTGGCTTGTATCTGATTCAGCAGACTGGCCTTATGAAAAGATCTTTGAGCCGAGCTCAGTACTATTAAGATAGAGCCATCTTGACTGCTTATCTAAAGTCTGTCTGAATTACTCAGTTTTTAAGTGGGTAAGGTGCCAGCAGTAACAGTCCAATAGATATGCATATGTACTTTTCAGTGAGGAAGTAGGGGGAAAGGAGACTTCAAAAGCTCCAGACTCATGTTGCAAATGGTAATGGAATCGATGTTTTATTTTTTTTTTTACATCTTTATTGGAGTATAATTGCTTTACAATGGTGTGTTAGTTTCTGCTCCATAACAAAGCGAATCAGCCATACATATACACATGTTCCCATACCTCTTCCCTCTTGCGTCTCCCTCCCTCCCACCCTCCCTATCCCACCCCTCCAGGTGGTCACAAAGCACCGAGCTGATCTCCCTGTGCTATGCGGCTGCTTCCCACTAGCTATCTACCTTACGTTTGGTAGTGTATGGAATCGATGTTTTTAAAATCATGGTACTTTACAGATCAAGCAAACAGCATCCATGGAAAGAAGACTTCCTATGCACTAGGCAGCGTGTTAGACTCTGTGAAGGTGATCATTATTGCCCTCAGCGATGTCCTGTCCTGTTAGAAGAAATAAGACAAATATACACCAGACACCATTTATCAGTCTTTTATCTTCAATTTTTCCAACATATTTTCTGGCCTGTAGATGTTGGTTTTCGAAGGATTCTGTGCATCAAACAGCATTATTTAATAAATGATTATTTTCTCAGTTAAAATTAAGAAAGCTGGGAATTCCCTGGTGGCACAGTGGTTAAGAATCTGCCTGCCAATGAATGGGACACGGGTTCGAGCCCTGGTCCGGGAAGATCCCACATGCCGCGGAGCAACTAAGCCCGTGCGCCACAACTACTGAGCCTGTGCTCTACAGCCCACCAGCCACAACTACTGAGCCTGTGTGCCACAACTACTGAAGCCCGCGCGCCTAGAGCCTGTGCTCCGCAACAAGAGAAGCCACTGCAATGAGAAGCCCGTGTAGCGCAACGAAGAGTAGCCTCTGCTCGCTGCAACTAGAGAAAGCCCACGTGAAGCAACGAAGACCCAACGCAGCCAAAAATAAATAAATTTTTAAAAAAAATTAAGAAAGCTTGTATAAAGTTTCCTCACACAAGGTTGATATAATTCCAACTAAGAGCAGTCACTTGCCATTTAAGTTTAGGATTTTTGTGAGGATTCAATTAATATTATTATTATTATTACATGCAGCCTAATCGCAGGCAAATGGACCATTTTACTAGGTTGTTTGTAATACTGACAATGCCTCAGAATCCATCATTACTGCCTTCTTAAACTTCTATGAACCTTGGGAACACAAGTTAGGAAAAAGTTGTATAGAAAGCTAGTAGTTTTAATACATGCTAAATACCAGTAAGTGCTAAAGGATTTTAGAGAAGTCCAAGTTCAGTATGGACCATTTTAGTTTGCAAAACTTCCATGATAGCCAGATGGTTTCAGATTGTGCCCTCATTTGATGAAGCAGTTGCTAGAAAAGTTGAGTTTGTTTTACTTCAAAATAATATGCAATATTAAAGCTTCACTTGTGACATTCTGCAGCTTTTTGTTTTTATGTTTATATCTACTATTTTATGTTTTATTCTTCATTCTGCACTACATTACAAAAATAATTGCACACAAGGCAGAAAGTTGTGATTACTTTTCTGGTAGGCAGCAATAAACCATACTCCAATGTTTATAAAATGATGACAAAGAGCCCTCTGAGGGTTTTGTCTGTAAGTAAAAGTTTTAGGATAT